TATACCTGCTTCTGAAAATAGCCTCTCACTATATACACTACTGCTGGGAGACGATAGATAAATCTTAGCGAATTCTGTCAGGCTTGGATACTGTTTTGCGTTTGCTGACCACCACTTGTAAAGGTCTGCCGTCCGATCTAGGCGAACAGTTTTCATATAAAGTGATACAGTGATATTTTTTAGTAATAATTAGTAACGCAATTTGATGTAACAATGAACAAATAATGCATGTTGTGACATGATCTACTCGCAAATAAAACAAATGTGCCCGCAGTGTCGCCACCGCACCCACCGTAATGTATCAGGTCGTAACATATCACCCGCGAAATGTACACATATTTTGTCGAACATTCAGCCGCCGAATATTCGGCGCTTCGGCCAAGAGCGTAGCCGAATGTTCGGTATTCGGCAAACTCACTATTCGTGGCATCACTACTAAGAATATTATTTACGTATTTATAAATGTCTATACTTAAATAATTTCATATTTAATTTCAGTAAATTTAGAAAATGGAGTTTCAAGCAGTTGTAATGGCAGCTGGTAGAGGATCAAGGATGACAGAAATTACTTCAGGTTGTCCAAAATATCTTCTTCCAGTTGGAAATTTACCTTTAGTATTTTATCCTCTTTATACTTTGAAACAAGCTGGATTTCAGGGTAAGAACATAGATCAAATGACTTTTTTGTATAATTAAATATTGATCAGTAGTTAAATAATTACAAATTCATTAAAAATAGTTATTTGTATAAATGTAATGAATATTTTATTTCTATGTCAGTGTAATATGATAATACTTGTTCATTTTATTTTTCATGATATGCTTATATCTTGCATTAATGTTATTTATCATTCAGGTTTTTCTGTTGCAGTTCAAAAATAAATATCTAACCAAATATATTGTTTTATTCTTTCATTTTTAAGGTCTATTTATAGTGGAGTCTCATTATTCAAATTAATGTAGAGTGCGAATATCATTAATATCAGATAATCAGAATCTCAGATAACATGAAAGGTTTCATACAAAGTGATAAACAAAATACAAGAAAATTATAAAATTTCTCTGTCTAAAATTCACATTGTCATGAGAGTCACCAGAATAAATTATTTTTAAAACTTTAGAGTTCCTTTCATGTATTATGTATCGCCCACCCAAGATTTGTGAAACAAACTGTATTATGATTCCTATCTTTTGTTGACAAAGTACTCTTCCACAATTTACCTTGGATAATGTAGAATCTTCATTAAATGAATCTCGGATAATCAGGACTCTAGTTTGTTTGATTTTTTGAGATATTGGTTACTATAAATTTCCTGCCTATAATCTGCACATAGGTTAACAAAATTGTCTAAGGTATGAATTATACAGTGCTGCATATGTGTGTGACAATTTTTTCACAACAAAAAACATGATATTAAAAATCATTTTATTTTTGTTACACTAAGAAGTCTTGTTAACATGATAAACACATCTGCAGACTCAAAAGACAAATGTGCAGATGAAAAGTAAAATTGCCAATAATAAAATCATTGCCCAATAATAATTGAACAAGATGCCTACCTTTGTTTGTTCTAGATTTTACAATCATTTATTTCTACACAAACTTAATTCCTTCATATTTATGCAATTTTAACTATGTAAAAATTTGTTATATTTAAATATTTACAAATATTACAGATTATTAATGTGTAATTTTAAATGTTATTATGTTAGTTCTAAGAAAATGTGTGGTTTAGATTAAAAATATACTAACTGAAATCATAATTAGTAGAACTATAAAATGCAAAAACATTTATACCCAATTAAAACTTTACTCTTAAAATTTATGGTTGATATTTCTCTCGTTATAAATTATATATTTATTCACATAAGACATAACAAGAATAAAAAGAAAAGATCTCATTATTTTAAAAAAAGTAGAGAAATTAAACTGAAATATTTAGACAACTGTTGTTTTCTAAATAATTCAGTTTGATTTATTTTTGTAAATTGTTGTTAGTGTTATCATCTAAGAATTTTTTTTTTATACAATTGTTCTATAACAACAAAATTAATTAGTATTTTGTAACTTTTTGAACTTATACACGTTTGTCATGTATTTATTTCATTTATTATTTAATCAAAAAATAGTTCTTATTGACTTTATATAAAAGTAAAAATTAAAATTTACTCTTACCAAATTTTATTATTTCCATACACATTTTGATAGCATCATCATGAAAACCTCTTGCATATGCCAAATTTGCAGCTCCCATGAGTCCCTCTAAGTCTTTTGGTAATTTTTTTCTTCTACGCCTCTAAAATATAAACATTTTTAAATTATACCACCAGAAGCTAAAAAACAATTATAAAAATTTTGAATCTATCAATCCATATCATTAGATTTAATTTCATATTTTCTAAAATAAGGTTCTAAAATACAGTTACATATTTATATATGTAACTGTAATTTAGATAAAGCAAAATTAAAAGCAACAACAATAAACACTTTAAATAGCCTGCAAATAATTTTTGTCATTAATTTTATCAAAAATTTAAATTAATAAACAAATTACAATCAATCCTTTGAAATATTTAATTCTTATGTTTATAAATCTTATCTTTTAAAGTAAAGAAATTTTCTTTGAAGTACTATCTTTAAGCTTAGATAGCATAATAAGTATCAAAATGAAAACTTTTTCAAACAAAACAATCCCTTCAGTTGTAATAATTTTTTAATTTCAGCAAACTAAAATACAAATAAAATAAAATTTGTTGTGGATAACCTGCAGAAGATTGCAAGAATGAAAATAAATCATCTTACAGTTTTACCTGCCTTACCATATATACTATACCTCCAGGATACAGGAGCTCCCCTATTTACAAACTTTCAGTCTTACAAACAATTTCACATGTCTAAAATTTAAATTTTGCACAAATTCTGAAGTTTTCTCACTAGTCATGGGGTAGTATTGAAATCAGTCTTTAGCCAGAAATAAATAATTAATGTTTTATTTCTATTGTAGATCATCAATTTTTGTTTTTGCACAAACTCTGACATTCCATCACCACTTGTGAGGTAGTGCCAAAGTCAGTAACATTGGAGTAACAGCATTTTTTGATATTGTTAGCAATTTTTATAAACGTTTATGATTAGTATTTCAAAAATGCCTCCAAGACATAATCTAGAAGTGAAAATAAATGCAAAAAGTGTGGCTCTGTTACTGACTGTAGAAACTAACCCGGACATTATAAAACTAAGTGTGTTAGGTGGAAAAAAAAACTGCATTTGAAAAAACTCACTACTAAGCAGTAGCAAAGGTAAATGAGCATAATGTATTCTATTAAGTGCATTGAAGAATCAAACACTAACAATACATTGTTATTCTGTGAACAAATGTATCATACATTCTAGGTTAGTTTTCCACTTATGACAAAACCTCGAGAACCTAATCCTGTTCATAAGTAGGAGAGCACCTGTATAATGATAGGAATACCGCTTACAAGATAACGGCGCTCAATGTTCACATTTGAGAGATGAAAACTTCAGCCACAACCTTGCTATTGTATCAGTTTATAAGTTTCTATCTCAAATACTACAATATTTAATACATAAAAATATAAATACGACTTTTTAACAAAGTTAAAACTTTGTGTCTGTCCTCCTTTTCGCCGTTTTCACCATCAGCAATACTTTAAAAAGTTCACAAAATTACAGAGGCGACCTTCCTTTTGAGGCTACTACCTCTGCAACAAAATGTAAAAATAGGTAAAGCGTCCTCTGGTGTTCTTGCCACATTCACAATAATACATTTTAAGTAAAAATAATAAAATTCATGGCCGGCATTATTTACATTTAATACATAAAAATATAAATACGACTTTTTAACAAAGTTAAAACTTTGTGTCTGTCCTCCTTTTCGCCGTTTTCACCATAAGCAATTTTACTACAATATTGCTTAACTGCACAACACCAGGATGTAAATAAAAGTTGCCAATCAACCAGTATGAATAATGTTTAAGTGACAAACATTTTCATTACCCCTTTTGGGCACTTCTTCAGGTCAATTCTTATTTCAAGTAGGCTGGCCATTGACATTCGAAAATAAATTGAATGGTACCGTAAAGATTTCAAATACAGTATGTGCATGCATTTTCAGTATAAGATGTTTAAAAAAAGGTTGAACATTAAGTTGAGCTGGAAGGCAGAAAAGTACTGCGCATGCGTTTGGCTCAAAATACGATTGAAAATTAGACATCTTTGTCAAGTATAGCCTGCCATGCCATTGACAGACACATCTCCTACTTAAAATTAATGCACATGGTTCTGCTGCAGGCTTTAAAAAATTTTGATGGCTTCTAACCATTTGAGGTGTTCCAGGTGAGGGATAGTAAGGATAATTCTGGCTCCGGAGAAGTCCACCATAATATCCTGGTCTGTAATATTATCCTTACCACCCTGCACCTGCACCTCAAATGGTTAGAGGCCATCAAAATTTTTTAAAGCCTGCAGCAGAACCATGTGCATTAATTTTAAGGAGGAGATGTGTCTGTCAATGGCATGGCAGGCTATACTTGACAAAGACATCTAATTTTCAATCGTATTTTGAACCAAACACATGCGCAGTAGTTTTCTGCCTTCCAATTCAACTTAATGTTCAACCTTTTTTTAAAACACTTTATACGAAGAACGCATGCATATACTGTATTCGAAATTCATACCATTCAATTTATTTTCGAATGTCAATGGCCAGCCTACTTGAAATAAGAACTGACCTGAAGAAGTGCCCAGAAGGGGTAACGAAAAACATTTGTCACTTAAATGTTATTCACACCAGTTTATTGATTGATGAGTCGTAACTTTTATCTACAATATTGCTTTTTCTGTTTCATTTTTATTAAAATAATTGTAGACATACATAAACAACCAAATGCAAATATTCTACAATAATCATATTAATTTCAGAATTATTTGGACTATAGTCTTATATAAAAGTAAAAATTAAAATTTACTCTTACCAAATTTTATTATTTCCATACACATTTTGATAGCATCATCATGAAAACCTCTTGCATATGNTATTGAAAAATATAAAAACAATAAAAAATTATACTTCAGATGTTAATTTAGTATCAAAAACGTAAAATATTTGAGTAGCCCGAGAAATAGCCGAAGATTGCAGTGCCACAGCACTAGCGAAAATTTAAATTTGCCGACTGGAATGCTTTCAGATAAACGACGCTCTACTGTAATAAATTAATACATAATTTAATCACTTAATTGGAACAATAGCAGAAAAGAAATTTAGCAATTTTTGATATATTTTAGTAATCTTCCGAAAATATGTAGGCACTACATACACTAATGTCTTGTAGGCCTAATGGTTGGCAGAGACAAAGTGATTTGTCTTTTGCTCGGGCAGTTTGGTTTTTCTGGAGGGGGTCAGCATAACAGGACGTATCATATGGGGATTTTGTATGAGGTGGACCTGAATGCGAGTTACTACCCTGCTCTGGATTAGATCAGACGATATCCCTTAAAAGACAATTTAATCCCCTTAAAGGACAATTAATCCCCTTAAAACACAAAAGACAAAGATGATCCCCAGACAATTTTTCGAGGTCTCTTGAATGAGTTGGAAGACAACTAGAGTTTCCTTGGAAGGTATTGTGTGCATAATTACATCTAGATTCAGACAGCAGCCATCCGATTGTTGAGACCAGCATCGAGTTGGAGGATTCTACAAATACTTCCGCCAAAGTGATCTGGCCCATCTCCAAGTAAAGAAAACTGTGCTCAAAAGAAGACCATAAAATAACTTTTCGATAAACCCTTTTCTTTCTCCCTTTTTAGTTAGAACATGTTCTAACTAAAAAGAAAGAAAGGAAAAATTGTTCGATCAGGAACAGATCGAATGGTCAACCCTCATCTACGTCACTACTAATATTTGGCAACACTAGCATTATGCGAATTAGTTATTTATTGTCATGAGTTTGGCAAATTTATAGTACAAATATTTTCTGTATTTTGGTTTAATAAAGCATTAAAATAGGTACCTAATTATTATTTTTTACCTACTTATTTATTTATCTACGCATTACATATTTTATTGTACAATTTATTATTAGTTTGTTTAATTAGGGCAGCCACTTAATTGGGCCAAAAGGATGTGTCCCAATGTGTCCCAGTTAAGCGGAATCCACCGTAGTTATTTTGAATGAATAGGTTAAAATTAAGATATGTTTATATAATTCTCTCTTGACAGGTCTTGGCTTATAGAAATGAATTATTGAAAACTTTAAATAATTATCATTAAAAAATATACATAATAAAATAAAACAAGCCTGGATGAAAAAATTCATTTAAATTATTTGTTAATAGAAAATTGCACAAAAAAAGTTTATGTTATGTTTTTGTATTTATGTTTCAATTTACAAATATTTTAAAAGAAAATACAGTAGACCCCCTATAACATGGTAGATATGTTCTGCATTTTATGAAATTCATGTTGTATGAGTCCTTAAATACATGAGCCAATCACAGCCCACCACGTATGCAGTTTACGGACTACGGCCATTTGAAAAGTTTCTTCCATAAAATTAATCGATTCTAGACTAATTTGACTCAACATTTCCAAAACACATATAATTTTTTGGGAATAATCCATATAAACTATGCTATGAACAAAAAATTGTAGGATTACTTACTGAGTGTGCACCGTTCAATGATGCCATTGCTTAAGCTTGTTTTTGTCGTGGAGCGGCGCATCGAACAGCTGGTGCGTGTTTCCTGATAAATTATTTTTCTGCGAAAAATTTGCTGAACTTTGGAGACATCATTAATATAAATATAATTTTTATGACCATTAAATAAATGGTTTTTAGTAGGTCCACTGCTTGTTTAAACTTAACAGTTTGTGCAATATCCACTATTGGTCTAGATTCGACCAATCCTGTTGCAACACGAGTCGGCAATGACGTTTTACTGTATCATACGAGTCTCTTAAGCGTGTTTATAAGAATATGATCACAATTTTTTTGCCGTTATATACGAATCCATATTATATGAACCCGTTTTATAGGGGTCTACTGTATAATCTATAAAATTAATTGATATACAGAGTAATCAAAACAAAAACAAAAGCTGATTAATATTCATAAACATATAAATTATTTTACTCATTAAGATAATATAAATTAAAATTTGAATAGTAAAATTGAAATAACTATTGCTCAATAAAAAAACCATACTACCTGAAAAGATTTCTCCATATCACCCATATCCTCGTATAACATACTCAAAGTTTGAAATGGTTCTGGAGCAGATGGTTCTATAGAAAATCTTTCAGGTTAATTATGAAATTAATAGTTTGAAAATGTTAATGTAATAATATGAAAAAATTTTATGAAGGAACAAGCCTGATATGTTGAAATATTAAAAATGAATGTAGCATATGTCAGAGGTATTAAAAATTAATATCAAAAAAGTCATAATAAGAGATATATGCAATCTATATATATATATATGCATATTGTTGGAAAAAAATTTATTTTCATTAAGTTTATTAAAATTTATAAACTAATTCATTATTAAATCTGTTATTACACAGGCTTAATTTACAAAAATCAAAAATTAAAAAATGCAATATTAATTTGGTATATTCGTAAAAATTTAACAAAATCTACATTAGTTCTAATATTTATATGAAATAGAAAATATAATAAGTGATGACATATTTACTACAAAGCAACTATATGAATAGCTACATTAAATTGTAATTTGGCTATAGTTTTTCATCAACTTTAATTGATTAATGAAAAATTCTCTTGCACCATTAATTAATACAGATACTATTCCAATTTTCAAAAGTTTCATTTTTTTTTTAATAAAATCATATAAAATAATTAATCACTTTAATGAAAACATTAACAATTATTTATATAGTACTGTGAGTTTATTTATAATGTTAATAATATATTATTAATATATTAATGCTAATAATGTTAATAATATATTATTTATAAATTAATCCTATTGACATATTAAATGGAAATATTAATATTCTCATTTCAAGAACACCAATTAATATGATGTTATTGTTATATTTAAATATTTACAAATATTACAGATTATTAATGTGTAATTTTAAATGTTATTATGTTAGTTCTAAGAAAATGTGTGGTTTAGATTAAAAATATACTAACTGAAATCATAATTAGTAGAACTATAAAATGCAAAAACATTTATACCCAATTAAAACTTTACTCTTAAAATTTATGGTTGATATTTCTCTCGTTATAAATTATATATTTATTCACATAAGACATAACAAGAATAAAAAGAAAAGATCTCATTATTTTAAAAAAAGTAGAGAAATTAAACTGAAATATTTAGACAACTGTTGTTTTCTAAATAATTCAGTTTGATTTATTTTTGTAAATTGTTGTTAGTGTTATCATCTAAGAATTTTTTTTTTATACAATTGTTCTATAACAACAAAATTAATTAGTATTTTGTAACTTTTTGAACTTATACACGTTTGTCATGTATTTATTTCATTTATTATTTAATCAAAAAATAGTTCTTATTGACTTTATATAAAAGTAAAAATTAAAATTTACTCTTACCAAATTTTATTATTTCCATACACATTTTGATAGCATCATCATGAAAACCTCTTGCATATGCCAAATTTGCAGCTCCCATGAGTCCCTCTAAGTCTTTTGGTAATTTTTTTCTTCTACGCCTCTAAAATATAAACATTTTTAAATTATACCACCAGAAGCTAAAAAACAATTATAAAAATTTTGAATCTATCAATCCATATCATTAGATTTAATTTCATATTTTCTAAAATAAGGTTCTAAAATACAGTTACATATTTATATATGTAACTGTAATTTAGATAAAGCAAAATTAAAAGCAACAACAATAAACACTTTAAATAGCCTGCAAATAATTTTTGTCATTAATTTTATCAAAAATTTAAATTAATAAACAAATTACAATCAATCCTTTGAAATATTTAATTCTTATGTTTATAAATCTTATCTTTTAAAGTAAAGAAATTTTCTTTGAAGTACTATCTTTAAGCTTAGATAGCATAATAAGTATCAAAATGAAAACTTTTTCAAACAAAACAATCCCTTCAGTTGTAATAATTTTTTAATTTCAGCAAACTAAAATACAAATACCATAATTTGTTGTGGATAANATAATTATTAAATTTAATTCAAAATAATAATTAATGAAATCAAAAGTAAAGATGAAATTAACTTTTGATTTACTTTTTAAACCCTAATGTAAAAATACTCATACATTTTACATAAATTAAACTAACATTTGTATAAAATTTAAAATATTAAATTGTAAAAAGTTAAAGTAATTTTAATATCAAAAATAAAAATTATCAAAATTAAAATATAAGCTTTTAAACAGGATTTTGCTTGAGTTTTGCTTGTTTTAGTATTTTAATTTTGTATTTGAATTGAATTTGGATTCATATTGGAATTGAAAATTGACATATAACTTGCCCTATTGCATAATCCACACTCCCTTTCAAATTATCTTTCAAACACATAACCATGGCTATCTGCACAAAATAATACTATTTCACTGAATTAATCCTACTGAAATTATTAAAATAACTACTTTAATTATCAAGTGAACACATTATACATAGTTACAAAACTGTCATTAATTGGATATAAGACAATTTTTGTAATATTTGATTAAACTTTAGCTGTTGTCTTTTATGAAGTTATAGTTTGTAAGGAACCACTTATAATGTCTACATTCTTAGATAAATTAAATAAAATATTAAAATAAATTACTTTTGATAATTGACTATTATTTCACACAGTATTTTGATTCTTATTTAATATTCAATTTTTTAAAATAATTTATATTTTTACAATGATCTCCAGTATATTTTTTAAATCTAATTTTATTTCTTATAAAAACAATCTATTTATAATAATTTTCATACAATTACCTTTTTGTGAGTTAAATCATCATCTAGATCTAAATCAGTTTCTTTGGATTGTTTAGGCTCATTTTCTAATAAACAGAAAGCAAAACACATTATATTAATTAAATTTCAAAATAAATATTTCATAAATTTTTTCTAAAATTTGAAAAATTGAATTAACAATAATTTCTATCAGAATACAGTCTTTTCATTGTTAAGATGCTGTGTGTTGCTATACTTTTGAATTAATACTTTATTTTTATAATCCAAAACAAAAAACCCATAATGTAGCAATGCTGAATTTTAAGGTTTCTGTTTTGAATTACCATATTTTACAGCATGTAAGACATGGCTTTTGTCCGAAAACAAGACTAAAAAAAATCACCCATGTTATATGTGAAGTTACAATCTCTCATATACGATTTAGTTTAGGTTAAAAAGTAGGTCATGCATGCAGCCACACGAGCGAGTAATCAGGTTCTGGATGGAGACAGAGAGACAGCCCGACAAAAGTAACATACTCAGACACTAAAGTTAACAACTAAATAACCATTTAATTTCAATGAAAAGGAGTACATGATACAATATATCAACTTAACCTATCTATCTAGCAATCACGAGAGAGAGAGAGAGAGTTTACAATTGTTTGCCAGTCAAGAAATACCTGCGTTGATGGTGATGATTCTTGATTTGAGGTTGAGATTAGAATCTTGAGGGTTTGGATTTGGATCGTTCAGGACTGGTCTGGATCAAGATAGTTCTTCTAGGCACAGTTGAGGGTAATGTGAAAATCCAACAGAGTACAATTGGCACTGACATAGAAAAATTTTGATGACTTTAATCCCAGAGGGACTGGCAACAACTACCTAAACTTGTAGTTCCTTGCTATATTGAACTGATGAAATTGAGACAGTAGGTTGGAAGGTTATGAGAAAGCATCACTTTTGCTGCCGAGAATGTAACAAATGATTTACTCCAAAGCGTGAAAGTTGACAGTCATCTGACAAAATTTTATTGTCAAAACGTTACGTTATGATTTAGTTACATAAATAAATTATGTAGTGCAGAGTCTCACAAAAGTGAAGGTTGGCTTAAATTAAAAAACACTAAATACTTTTTTCTAATATTCTAATACTGAAATGGGAGTGTCTTATATGCCATAAAATACAGTAATTATTCAGTTTATTTTTTATTTTATTGTTTAAATTTTTAGTGTTACCAGAACTGGCTTCCACAGCTTTTTCATTTTCGGCAACAGAATCTTGTTCTTCAGACTTTTGTAAAATGTCTGTAATCTCTGAGAATGTCATTTCACCTGGAAACATACAATACAAAAAAGTTTTAAACTTTATTTTAAAAAATTCAAATTACATTAAGATATTTAAGAATATTATAAGATTTAATATTATATATATATATAAAGTAAAAAGACATACATGGTATCATTAAGACTAAAAAGAAAATAATAAATAATATTTATACCATTAATATATTTAACAGTTAATTCTGATGCTATCTTTCTAGTAGATTGTGTCTCATTTTCATCACACTCATCACTGTCACCATCATTTTTATCAAGTTTATTTTCAATAATTGCTTCATCCAATTCCTATAATAATTGAAGACTGATTTAAAAATTTTTTTATCTACAAAAGTAATTAATTCTTTTTAATATTTAAAAATTTTACATTACCATCTCAATATCTGACTGATGCCACGGGGACACATTTCCATCATTAGCTTCATTATCACTGCTGTCATATTCACTATCACTTAAAACCAAATTACTTTGCTATAACAATAAAAATAATGAATATTAAATTTAACTGATAAAATTTTAAATTTAAATACAATATATTTAACATATAAAAGATGTAAAATCATAATAAGGAACTTAACAAATGACAAAAAGATATATTGTCATCATTTAATACAATGATTTACTAAATTAATTTTAGAAAGTGTTAGAAAAAAAAAAATAGTTGAATTTGATTGAAACTCTAAGGTGTTTAATTTTCATATCTTTGAATAATTTTTTAAAAAATTATTTTTTTTTAAATTATATGACAAACAACAAAGTCTATTTCAACATTATTTTGATTTACAGATTTATTACTGTAGTATACATAAAAACTAAATATATATTTTAATTAAAAAACTATAAAAATTTAATACATAAAGTACCATCAAACCATTTAGATTTATCAGTTATAAGGTCTCTTAAATATCAAAACATAACTTTCAACAATTATAATAGTTCATTGAAATATGTTTAGTCATCTTATGATGCACAAAAATTATTCAAAATATTAAAAAAGAAATATTCATGTTTCTTCATGGAAGCATTTCATTTTGGTTCCAGATGATATTCACAATAATAAATGACAAAAATTGCACATATAAAAAGATAAGCTAAACATATGCCTGCCAATGATACAAGTCTTTTTTTCTTATCTTGCAGAAAAAACAAGTTTTGATGAAATGTTTATAAAAGTTACAAAAGATAAATGTTGCAAAAAAATGACCTTATAATTTTCTACAGAATTTGGTGTTTCAATTTTTCATGCCAGCAATGGATGGCTTGATAAGTTTCATCTACACTACAACATTGTTTTGAGCAGTTTGTGGCAAAATTGCAGAAGTAAATGAAGATGCTGCCAATAAGTGGAAGTCAAGATTACAATCATTACTTATTCTGATCATAATATCTACAATATGAATGAGACAGAATTGCTTTACAAAACACTTCCAGATAAAGCATTAACAATGAAAGTTAAACAGTGCAAAAGGCAGAACCTAGCAAAGCAAATACTGTTGCCTTGTGAAACCTCTGTGGAATGAGCCACCATTGGTAATCCATACAGCTCTTCAACCAAGGTGATTCAGAAATGTTAAAGTTTCACAACTTGGCATTTACACAAATAAGAAAGTATAAATAACATGTCAATTTTTGTTGATGGTTTAACAAGTTGAACCACTTTAAAAGATGGTCTTACCAGTCTTACTAAGCAAAGCTTTATCTTGTGAATTTGACAATCAGACCCTTGTTTAAATGCTAGATGAAGTTCAAAAACAACATGAAAGTGAGACTTTTAAACATATGAAACAGCAAAACATCCAATTCTAGATTACATGAACTATTTATTACATTAATAAATAATTATCATGAGATGCCTAATAAAAATTTTTGACAGGAGAGAAAACAGAACTTATAGAAAAAGTTTCAGAGTTTGTTTAAACATTCCATCGTCCAAGATCAAGATCATAAAAATTGTAAATGATAAAAAGTCCAACATCAAATAAGTGTGTTCATGGATGTGTAGATGACCATCGTGTAGTTGTTAAACACAGATAAACTTTAAACACGTAGAAAGTTGAATTGGGACTACCTAGGTAAACTTCACAGGTATTTTATTTGATGCTACAGAGCACAGACTCCCTATAAATGTCAATTCACTGGCACTAAATTTACATAATACAGGCTACCCTCATTTTACACTGGTTTCAAATATTCCTAAAGAATAAGGTAAAAATAATTTTTGCCGTAAAGCTCAGTGTTGTTTTCCTACAAAATACCTAGTTTACTTCTTACACAGAGTAACTTAATTGGATAAATTTACATCTTAAATTTACCAGAAAATGGGGCTTTTCTCTCCGCTTTCATTCCATGCCTAGATACCCGTAATTACTCAAATATATGTCTCTAGGTCTTGTGTAATGAATGGAAGATAGTTTATATAAAGTAGAATTGAAAAATAAGCTCATTCAACTTATTGAATGAGATTGTTCAACAACGAGACTAGTCTAAAAGAACTAGATTAAGACTGAACGGTTAATCTTTACCTACGTGTATTGTCATAGCCGCACAGTGGTGACCCACGTTCTAACCTAACCTAATCTATTCTAATAAATTACCAATTTATTAGGATAGGTTAGGTTAGGTCAGAACGTGGGTCCCCACTGTGCGGCCATGACAGTCGTGAGTCCACTTAGGTAAAGATGAACCGACTGAACATTTCAATTCGCCAATGATATCTTTTACTTTCCGTGTTTACCTCACGTTTAATTTCCTTATACGTCTCCCATTGTTCTTCTGATATTTCTCCTAACAAGCTTCGAAAGATATTCGAAGGACCAGCTTCGTTATCGTCCATTCCCGCCACCAAATAATCAAAAACATTAATATAAACAAATCACCAAAACATCTTTTACTAATAGGTAACATGTTGCCAGTTAACTGATAAATTAAATAAATAGATAAATTTAATTAAAATAAAAATAACATTTTATTTTATTATTATTTTTTAATTATTAAAATTAATAAGTTAAAGAAATAGAGTAAGAATAGTAAAATTATACATATAGTGAGTTTCCCAAGCCGGCAACGGGACACTGGGGTGGTAAGGGACAGAGCCCGACATATCCGGAACGGACCAAGCCGCCCATCTTACAGTAGTTTAATTTAATTTAAGTGTTATCATCTCACGTGATGTTTATGATTACGTTACCTAGAAAAAGACTTTTTTCTATTTATTATTCGAAATAATGATTAACTGGTCAAATCTACACTCCTTAAAAGTGAAATCGCAACGCTACAATACGCGCATTCCTTCGCGATGTTGCGATTTCACTTTTGAGGAGTGTACTTATTGCAAAAAAAAAAAAAAAAAACTCTTAATCGTATAGTCGTAATTCGGATATTAAATCATTTGATATCCTAACTTTATATTTTTATTTTCTCGTATAACGTACGTCTCGAATAACGAACAACGGACTTTCCGTTCGGCAGTTACGTGAGGCGAACAACGGTCTTTCTGCGAACAAGTGCGAATGATGTTTCCACTCTTTTGCCGTTGCCAAGACAATCTGCTATTTTTATAATATATTAGTATTATTAGAATATATTATTAGTATATCTGAAGTATAGAGCTCCCGTTGGGTTCGGCTTGCTCCCTTGTTTATTACGTACATCGCCTCAGTGCAGGGTATTTACATTTATTCAAGTGTTGTGCAAATCATGGCTTCTAAAAAAACAGAAAGGTAATTTCAATTGAAACATTGCAAGAAATCATCAGAAGGAGTGAAAGTTGACAACAACTTCCTTGTCGAATGGGAGAGGTTCAGGAGTTTACCAACACTCATTATCCAAACAGAGCTGAGGCCACCAGGATCAATGATCTCTACAATGACACCCTTGCCCAAGATTTCCAGTAGGTGTTGAAGAAGAAAGAGAAACAGACCACCTTGGACATGTTTTTTAAAAAGCCAGCAGGCAAAAAACAAAGGATGGAACAAGAGGAGTTGACCTTGCAAGCTCCGGTAGCCTCTCCTGAATCTGACTCCGATTAAAAAACAATAAAAAGAGACCTGCTGCAATGTATCTGTATCTGTATGAATGTGTGAAGAAAGTATTCCTCCACCTCCTCCTCACAACATCTGACTACCCGGCATAATTGGTGACTGCTCCATTTTCATTTTTTTAATGGTACAGTATGGTTATTTTATGCTGCGGAACGAATTATATGTTTTAATATGTATTTCTATGCTAAAATGCGTTTCGTATAACGGACTTTTCACTTAACGGACGTGCACCTGGAACGGATTAAGTACGTTATACGAGGCACCACCACTGTATGTGAAATACAGTATTTTTCTCATTCGAATTTTTTATCGTTGATATAATCGAAAGCAGAGAGAGGGAGAATTAAATTAATACAATGCGCAACATTCTCAAGTCTGTACCATATCTCAACTGTCTTCGAGAGATAGTTTATGCCCGGCAGAATTTTCTGCCGGGCAATTCCCCTCCCAAAACGCTCAGCCGGCAGAATTTTCTGTCAGGTGACTGTTAACGGTTTAGAAAAATTTTTTCTTGAGAACTATACATCTTAGACATATGCAGTTTTCACGATATATTAATCTGACAGACGGAGTATATTTCGACGTTCACTATTAGTGACGTTGTGTTGTGTTAAGGGGAATAATCCAACACTCATGTCTGAAACTTTTCCCGTGTCAATCGGAAGTTGAGGGTCAGGGCTGTCCCTGCGGCAACCCGCTTAATAATCTGTGAGAATATAAAACGTGAGAACGAGTCGACACGTAGAACTTTAGTGATTTCTTCGAAGGGACAAATTTAGAACAACCGTGCTTGATAGAGCAGACGCTTAGCAGGGGGAATCCACTGATCTCAATAGGGACTAGACAAAGACAACTGTCCAAATTAACAAAATAACCCTTTAATTTTTCCGAGAACATACAGTACTTCTAGGAAAAAAGTCACAGGAACATACGGAGCCCGACAATCCAGTATACCGAATATCGTTAACATCAAATCTCCTGACAATATACTGCTCAAAATTCCCGTAACGTGAGGACATAAAACATACCGACAAATGAGTTTGAAGTGTACCTCTTCCTTTTCTTTACTCTGGACAGAAAACAATTCGAAATTCAAAATCTCCACACTGACTTGGTTGCACAGTCTTTACTTTCCCATGCAATTTCACCACCACTACTTTGCTTCTTCCCGTCCTCTCTTCACTTCAATTCTAACTTCTCCCCGAGACACACCCTCCAATAAAACTCCCACCCTTGGTTACACACCCCAGAATTACACAACTTCTCTCCACCGAGTCGGACCTACCACGTGGCGAAGGGGGGCAAGAAAAAACGTAAGGCACAAATCCACAGAGGCAGTCGCAGCTTCTTCAACTGGATTCAAACAACGCAAAATCCCGAGAAAGTTCGAAGTCCCGGAAACCGCCAGCACTTTGGAAAATTTAGCCTTATCCGGACTCGAACCCAAAGTGACCAAGTCGAAGCTATTTTGATATATAATGATCTTTAGTCTGTAAATATCGGTTTAAATTTTTCTGTGTTTTTTTTCTGTATAAGATTTCTTTCTGCCATTGAAGTCATGCGATGCGTGTTATTATAGTTACAGTATTTTTTTATTAAATAATAAAACTAATTGCTCTAGTATTAAAGGGTGCTGTAGCGCCAAAAGTACATTCCCTTGGTATATCTCTACTCATGGGCGTCCGCAGGAAATTTTATAACTAGGACCAAAGCTTGGAGACAAATAATTAAATACAAATTTATTGTTGTAATTATTTAGTTTTTTCACAAGCAGATTATAGTGATACAGTATTGCATCAATACAAAAAGTACAAATCGTCGAGGGTGTAAAGTTGCATATCTCAATCACTTTTGCGATTATAATTTGTGGATTTTTTACTCGATCCCGGAAACAAGTGCCACATCTGAGACGCCCATGTCCCTACCCACTCTAGTTCTAGGTCCCATACAAGCTCTCGCCGGTCCTGATTTTTTTCTTTTGTTCTTTTCGCCTTGTGGACACTAAGAATGCGACTAGGGTACTCTAGATGCGACAATGCAAACGCGAATTTAGTAGCGAGCGACATAGTTCTCGCAAAGGAAAACTATGCACAAGAGAGAAATATCGCTGGCGAGAGCGAATTTCTGGTCTCGCACATATCTGACAGGGTTTGATATTTATCGCGTCTCGCTCGTGCATGGTTTTCCTTAGCGAGAACTATATCGTTCGCAACCTCTCGCTCGCTACTAAATTCGCGTTTGCATTGTCGCACCCTAAGAGGGCCTCTTATAGCAAGCCCATAATGAGGCGACCACAATGGTCAGGCCCACAATGGGGGCGACCGGGTGGTGAGAGACGGAGCCCGACATATTCGGACAGACTACCCCACAAAAAATTCTTGGGGATTATTCGATCCGTCCGGATTCGATTCCGGATCCCCCAGGGCGGTAAGCTGCCGCCTTGACCTTTCGGCCATCCGGCCGTCGTAACTACAGAACTATCATATTTATAACAAATTATATTTAATTATTTTTATATCAAAATTTACATTTTATAACATACTCTAAAAATTATTATGATTATTTTAAAGCGCAAATATGTTTAAAATTTTTTTTTCTATTTTTGGCAATTTCATGTAGTGGCGCTGTTTTTCCTCTTTGAATTTGTAGCGGCAAGTAGTCGCTGTTGTGATATTTTTGTATTAGAGTTAATAATTTTAATAGTTTTGTTAATGTGCTGGCAATGGAAACTAGAATTACAAAGGTGCCGATTAATAAATATCAGAAAAATGCCAAAAGCTGGTTCTCCAATGAGGTAGATTTCAGATGATAACCCACAGTAATTGTTTAAGGAAATATTTCTATATTAATAAAAATAATTTTTACCATTTTTTCTTTTATCAGCTTAACCCAAACGTATACCGAATATCTAAAATTGGATTCGTTATATTAAAAAATCCTATTTTGTGTATATTTGATACATATATTATGTTAATATGTTTCATATAAAATACATTAAGTTTGGATTCAGTTTATCTAATATGAAATTTATGAGTAATACAGGTCGAACCTCCTTAATTTGACAATCTTGGACATGATTACAGGTATTGACCTTTGAGATTGCTAAGGAAACAGCCTGCAAAACCATATGCTTATTCCATATTGCAGTGTTATCAAGGTAGAACCCATCTTAAACAGATGATAATACAACTGTTAATGCTTCTAAATGAGGTTTTTATCATTTCGTGTAATGTAAAGCCCAAAACCAAAAATATTTTTGGTGCCAGTTGCTTAGATCACGTCATAATGTGATGGGATTACAGATGTCTTCAAGGTGTACAGAGTCTGTGACATGAGTTGGGGAGGGCCAATTTTTTTCTGTGAGGGCAGCGTTTAAAACTTTTGAATTGACGTGAACCGCATAAAAGAGAAAAATGAAAAAATTGTGATGGTCAATTACATAATAACAATCCACGAAAAATCTTTTTACGAGTGTTATGTCACTAGTAAGTTAAGTTGTTACAACAGTGTTAAGTTGTTGGAAGTCGTTTATCTTGGTCAATTACAATTATTTATTTGTATGCATATGATTATAAATTAACATATTAGTCACTGCTCTTTTTAAATTAGTTTTGATGTGAGCCCATTAGCCGATTTTTTTTGTTTTACTTTTTACTAAATTTGTTATGGAAAAATCTGTTTGCATATGTAAGCTGTAGAAAATAATGATAGAATTTTTGCTGCATGCTTTCTTAAGGTGGAAAATTGATATTTATTAATATTTTGTGAACGTGGGCTGCACAAAATATTAATGTGTGCTGTGTGCAGCCTGGGGGCCAAGGGTTGCTCACCCCTGACATAAGTGTATGTTAGAAGCAGAGGATGTGCAGGAAAGTGGATTTTCTACATTAGAATGAGTCTTGACAGTGTTGTTAATGACCTTGTTGGATATGTAGCTTGTTTCTGGTACTTTGGCTTTTTCTTAATTAATTTTCTTTGAATCAGATAAACAGATACATCTACACACTAGTTGTAGCAGATTCATAATGGGTGCATATAATACCAATTTATGTTTAATCATAACATTGACAGGATTTCCAAATCATCATTTTTGAGTAGACCAATTGGTTTTTTTAGGACATTTTTTGATGATTTCTACAGATGTATGTGATAGAAAAAAATTGTGCAGAAATACACGCCATTTAAAAAATACATATTTATAATTTGGTAAAAAAAAACTTGGAAATTTGACAGTTATAGATTAGATGGGAGATTTATTTTTCAGAGAAAAAATGATGTATGCACATTGCATTTAGGAATTGCAAAGTCACCAGTAGATTATCATTAATTTTTAAATTGTGACTCCAAATGAAAAATTAGTGCTCTAGAGATTGTTTAGTTGCTGACTAATCTTTAGAGCTCTATGACCAATTGAATTACTTTTTTCCTATTTTGAAAAGCAAAAGTTTTGTTTCCTGAAAAATTGAGCATGGTGTATTTTTTTAGTTGCCATGATTAAAAATAGCCAGTGTGAGTGCTCACATTTAAGTAAATATATTGCATTTTTTAACTAAAATCACTATTTGTTCTAGATGTTACAGGTTAAGAAACAAATTGCCACCAAGAAATATCAAATTACAATAAGATGCTCCACAAAAGTATAAAACCGCTGCAAATTTACTATACGAAGGTTAGGACTAGAGGATTTGATCCCGAGATCTCGAAAATCGGGATCCCAACAACTTTTCAGTCCCAAAATTTTCGGGATTGTCATCATTTTAAAAAAGTTGCAAAATAGACTGCATGAAGCGAAACGTTCAGTGCCAGTGCTTTTACAGAATTGCTTGCCTATCATTTTAATATAAAATATGAGAAATTTTATTCCAAGCAAGCAGCAGAAATTAACCTAGCGGGCTTGCGATGCTTGCTTGGAATAAAACTTCTTGTATTTTGAACTAAAATGATAGGCAAGCAGTTCTCACTGGGTTACTTGGTAATATACTTCATTTTTGTATTTTTGAATTTTCGCGGGCGCCAATCGATTTTCTGGCGCAGTCGAGAGCACTACTCAGTGCGTTTTACCTGTCAATGTGTCAGCCATCTTGTTTTGCCAGTGTGGTTAATATAGACCCGACGCCTCTCGCTTAGGGGGGTCGACCTTAGGTGAAAAGGTTACGACCCCCGCCTTGCCCGTGATCTGTCAGGATGATGCGAGAAAGTCTTTTTACGTTTGGGAGTAGTGGTTTGCTGGATGCTGAGAGACTCACACAGAGACCGAATTTACAAAATTAACGTGTTTATTTTTAGAAAGGCATGCTTACAATGATCGAAACAATCGGGATTGTAGCCTTTACTCCTACAATCCCGATCTGTGTCGACCGGACTGTTTTCTTCCAACCTCCCCGTGTCCTCGAAGCTATAACTAGAACGGGCTTATAAGTATTTACTAACGATTCCTCCAACTTCCATCAAACCTAAACGCGTTTTCTCAGCAGCTGCATATATGTGCAACAAATTGAGAAGCAGACTTGGTGATGAGACACAGGATGCGTTGTTATTTCTCAGATCATATTTTCGCAATTCAAATTAGAATGTTCCTATTAGATTAGTTTTCTTTATATTTAAGAAAAATGTGACTGATTAATATTATTTTTAAATACTTTTTGCTAAGAAACTTACTTTACTACCTACTTACTAGGTTGCTATATGAAAGTAGTCTATTTAGTCGATGTTAAGAGAGATTTTTGTTAATTTTCAACGTTTATTTGCATAGTTTGTTACATAAAGGTTTTTTCAATTTATGTGAGTTTAAAGAGATCTCAGTGATGCTTAAAAAAGAATAAATTTAACATGAAGACTGAGTGATTTTAAGTCTGGTTAGTCTGACTCTGAGTCTGATTAGTTAGAGTGATTAAATTAGCTAAGTGTATACTGTAAAATATGTTGATTTTTGTCTAAATTTTGATTTGTTGATTTCTGTAAGATTTTCTTATTTTTTATTAACCCTCAATACCGAAATGATCCCGGGATTGACTAAGTATAATTCCGAAATCCCGGGATTAGAAATAAGGACCGGGATCGAATTCCCTAGTTAGGACTTACACATATAATGTAGCAATCTTTCTTATATTGTTCAGGATTTATGAAAACATAATTTGTCAAAACTCATAGTTTCCTATATTGCAGCAAACAGCAGAAATTGTAAAAAAACTGATTTTAAGCACCACAAAAGTATAGAATTGACTAGTAAATGAATGCAAAAATAATTATATACTACAAAATAGTTTGATTTAGTAATTTATTTGCACACCTCCTTTACTGATAATATCAAAAATACAATTTGGCATGCTATCAACTTATAATCGATGCCTCGAGAGTTCCAAGCAGTGACAATTGCTTGTTTTAAGTGTTCAATGTCGGCATACTGATGATTTTGGTCATAAATTCGGTCAACCAAGAGTCCCAAAACGTTTTCTGTAGGGTTGCAATCAGGAGAACAAACTGGCCAATTTGTTTATTTTCAAACCACTGTTTCGTATCTCGTGATACACAGATAGATGCTTTGTCCTGTTGAAGAAAAAGAATAATTCTTCTGAATCTATGTTTGTATAGGAGCAATTTATTCTCCAGAACTTGTTGATAGTTGGCACTGTTCATGCAACAGGTAACGGATGCCATATCCAATTTTCTCAATGCAGAAAAAGCATCCCAAACCATAACACTTTGATCACCAAAGTTCCTTTGTAAAAAGTACTTGGGCTTTTTTTGTAAATCACTCCAGTAGAATGCTAAAACATTGGCCCATCCAAATTAAATTTTTTTTGTCCAAAAAGATTATCTATATGACAAAAAGGTTGTTATTTCTTGTGCTAGCATGATAGGTCTAAACAAAACAAAAAACTTGCCTTATTCTATTGAGTGGTCATATTTTTCCTAGCAAAATTGAGTCAGGCAGCTCTGTGCTCAGGCTTAAGAGCAGGAGCACTTCTCATTTGAGACTGAACAATGTTGTTGTTGCTGTGTAAAACCCTTTGAACAGTTTCATGATCTACTTAAATACCCAAATCATTCCAAATTTTACATGTGGACTCTGGAATTAGAAGCTTCATTAATAATTCATCTGCAGTCTTGCAGGGTAAGCTTTGATGGACATCCACTTCTACACTTTGGTCCATAATTTGCAGGATTTGACAAATAATGCTGAACGACCTTTTTTTGAACACTTGATGATGTTTGCTATTGTCTGATGACTTAAATCAGTGCTTCTCAAAGCTACAATTTGTTCTTTCTTATAGTCTGTTAAATGGCATAATGAAAAAAAACTTTCATACTTCAAACTTGCGAGAAAGATGGTGTTTCTATACTTATGTGGCAGTATATAAATTGACTTCTTTGCTATTTCGCAGTCAGCCACAAATTAGTTTCCTAAAATTATGTTTTTATAAGTTAGGTGCTGAATTACACATAAAAAAAATGTATTTCTATCTATTAGTGCATGTTTTAACCTTAAAAGACCAATTTTTTGAGTGGTTCTATACTTTTGTGGAGCACTTTATAGTGTTGTAATATGATATTATAAAAATTGTAAAGAACTGTAAAATAATAATTTTAAAAAATAAGCAACATAAACTACTTTACAAACATTCTGAAACCCAATATATTAGTAATATGCCAAACGACTGCCAAATTAAAATGGCAGTTGTTTGGCATAAACTACTACTCAGTTTAAATAAAAAAGTTTGATGCTTCTGTCTTTAATAAACATAGTATAATTCATCTTTTGCAACCACCTATAATGCCTCCTTATATATTGCATTTACCTCATTTGATGACTTAAATGAGATAAAAGCAATGCACACAAATACTGTACCACATATCTGGATGTAAAATATGGCATTTGAGTGAGTCCATCCATCATAAATGGTCTATTTTGAGTCATCAAATGAGATAAAAGTAACATTGCAGGAGGCAGTATAGGGACATCCCTAATGCCTCCTGCAATGGTCACAAAAGATGGCTTACAACAATGCTTCTGGAAGCTGTATAATTGCTGGCAGAAGTGTATTGTTACCCAGAGATTATTTTGAAAATGATTGTATGTTGGTATTATAAACTATTCAAGTGTAGGGAACTATACACCAAGTCACTGAAATTTTGGGTTATACCACAAATAAAAATACAGTGGAACCTCGATATACGTCTGCTTTAGAATACGTCCAATTCAGAATACATCCTGTTTGGATGAAACAAATTTTGCTCGATATACGACTTAATTCAATTATACGCGCCATGTATGAACAAGTAGCACTATCGGTGTACTACACTAGACTAGATGTTCGCGGTGCTACGGTTTATAACTTTGTTAAATTTTTTCTGATTTTTAATTTGTAATTAACATTTTATTATTTTTATTAATCATGAATTGCAAAAGGGCAACAGAAAAATAAAAAAATGACTAGAATCACAACGGAACTGAAAAAAGAGATTGTTGAGAAATATGAAGGTGGCACACGTGTTTGAGATTTAACAAGATTTAACTGTTGCATTCCGTATTCCGAGAACGACGATATCAACAATCGTGAAAAATAAAGACATTATTAAATTTGCTGACGTTGCGAAAGGGGTTAAATCAATTTCTAAACAGAGATCGAAAACATTAGATCATGTCGAGAAATTGCTTTTGCTTTGGATAACTGAAAAACAGTGTGCTGGCGACAGCGTATCGGAAGAAATTATTTGCAAGAAAGTTAAAAGGATACATGCTGATCTCATGAAAAATCAAGCAGAAACTAGCGAGGAAAGCGAGGTGTTTAAAGCCAGCCATTTTTTTTACATGAGAACGGATTAATCATTTTTACATTACTTCTTATGGAAAAGGTTGGTTTGGTATATGTTCTATTCGGTATAAGTCCAAACACCAGGAACAGATTAAGGTCGTATACCGAGGTTCCACTGTATACAGGTAACCCCTGTATAACACAGGAGTTACGTTCCAAAAAATTGCCATGTTATGCGAATTCATGTTATACAAAACAAAGAACTAGTGCGAAAAGGGGGGTTAGGTTCCAAAAATTAAAAAAAACATGCTGTTAAATCCTTATTTAAATCATATTTATTATTCATTTTTTTCATAGGTAAAATACTTATTTATTATTTAAGTAAATATTTTACCAGAGAATTATTCATCCTGTATGATGATCTCAGCATGAGCATCATCAACTGGTAACAGTTTTTGGGTGCGTTCGTTAATAGCGGTTGCTCTGCAACGGGAGTGCGCTGCTGTTTGTAGGCATTTAGGAACGATGGTGAAAGAAAGATGGCGGCGTCCGCACTATCAATAGTATTGTGATGGAGGAATCTATAATTCTAAAATGAGCTTTTAGAGGCAAAGAAGGGTCCCAATTGTAAAATTTAACCATTAAATGGATTATTTGTTGAAAGAGCATTCAAAGTAGCCATGAAAACAATTAGAATGCTTGCGCGGAGTTATGTGGTGGTATAAAAGAACGCACCCTTTACATTTCATGTTGTACGAGGGTTTTACCCAATTCCCGAACCATGTTAGAGTGAACCTGTGCTATAGGAAGTGCCGTATTATACGGGGGTTACCTGTACATGGAAGTGTGTACAAATAAAAAAATTGGTTTCAAAAAATTATTTAACTATTTTTTTTAAATCAAATTTACCAGTAAAAAGTATCAATTTATGGGTATATTTACTGATGCACTTTTTACCTCATTAGTATTTCTGTATCTAGATTAACTTAATTATTTTTTTGTAACTAAAGTCATATTTCAATTAGTAAGATATAGATAATATAATACTCAGAAGACAGTACTCTGTTCATCAGATAGAAAATACTTAGAGATACAATTACATAAGTAAAACATTGATCTTCAGGAATACCATATGTACTACATTCTATGTTCATTTCAAATGTTACTGTGAGCTGAGGTTTGTCTGAAAATGTTTTTCCTTTACTTAAAGCTATTTAATAGCTTTAAGTAAATGTCTTTAAGTAAAGTAACTATACAAAGCTTTAAGTAATAGAGTATGTCTTATGAATTTCTGCAAGACTTGGTACCATTTCATATATGATATTTCAAGAAAATATAGTTACAGTAGAGCCTCGATTATCCGATCCCCGATTAACCGACACCTCGGTTAACCGACCGTTTTAGTTGGCAAATTTCAAATGTTCGCTAATGATGTGGCGCTACAATATTTGGCTATGTCTTGGCTACTTTAATAGTATTTTTACGTGTTTTAGCTGGCAACACTCATTCGACCATGAAAGGGAGCCAGTATTTAAACGAGGCTTAATTTTCTAATTTTTAATGATACAATAGCGATTATTATTTTAAAAAATTTTTGTTAGGCTTAACATCGATGAAAATTCAATGCGAAGTAGGTTAATAGCGATAAACTAATATACTAATTAGATGGGATATAATAATAGACTACACTAATAATGGATTTGTTCATACTTTTCGGTTATCCGACTTTTCAATTATCCGACCAACCCCAGTCCCCAATTGGGTCGGATAATCGAGACTCTACTGTAATGGATTTTTTCATACTTTTCGGTTATCCGACTTTTCAATTATCCGACCAACCCCAGTCCCCAATTGGGTCGGATAATCGAGGCTCTACTGTATTTAACCAAAGTTAAATAGCTATATTTTCTTCTTGAAATATCATATATGAAATGGTACCAAGTCTTGCAGAAATTCATAAGACATACTCTATTACTATACTTTATTTTGTTTATTTTTACAGGGTATCCAAGAAAGATCTTTATTGTTTATTATTATTTAACTTCATAACATGAAAACAAAATGGTCTGTTGAAATGCAGTTTGTATTAAAAGAAAGAATAACTCAAGCAGTTTTTAGCACAAATGCCTATAATGATGTTCAATACATGGTGCTATCAGATTGTAAATTAAAAATGGGAACAATATAGGAAAAAGTATAATGGTGTATTGTAGTTAGCTGAAACAAAATTGCTATAACTATACAAAGAAAATATTGCAGGAAGTACAGAAAGACACAACCAAGTATCTCTTTAATTTATGCTTGAATGCAGAAATTTAAAAACACAGGAAGTAGTTACTCTAGATATAGTTGCCCATCAACATTGGATGAATCTGTGGAACAGCTTAGAGCAGTGTTTTCCAACCTTTTTTGTGCTATGCCCCATCTAAGCCTTTCTAAAATTCTTATGCCCCCCCTAACATATACAGAGGCTATACGGTTAACTTAAACTCTGGACAAGTCCATTTTCGAATTGCCCCCTTAACAATCGAATTGTACCATGTTGGGAAACACTCGCTTAGAGTATTGTTCTGTAGGAATTCAAAGAATTCAGAATTCAGAGGTTTATTGAATGTATGCTAATAAAATACTTTGAATTATTCTTTCTCTTACTGCAAACCATGTTTTAATAGATTGTTTTGTTTTTGTATTATAAATTTGTATAATAATAAATACCTTTCTTGGAAACTATTATATGTTACTTTCATAACTTATGAAATGCTTTATTTGAAGCTAAAGATGAATAAATTTAAAGAATAGATTATTTTAGCTCTTATCAATATATTGTTACAGCTAGAATAATTGACAATGTTCTCATGAACATAAAACAAATTTATTAACTAAGAAAACTAGTTAAATAAAATTAATTAACATAAAAAAGAATAAAGATTAAACAGAAGAATAAAACAGATCACTCTCTGAAAGGTTGTGGAATAAAATGGTTCCACAAGTGTTCCATTTAGTTTTTAAATGTTCATTTGATAAGGGTCCAGCTGACAAAATCCACTTGTCGCTACATTTATTGGATTGGTGTCAAACCAATTCAAACTAATAAAAGTTCAAGAAATCTAAAGTTGAAGATAACAACTTACCACAAAGCTTAGGACAGTCATCATTGACAAAGGCAGGAAACTTGAAATACAAATGTTAGACATTTAGGAACCTGGATGTCTATATACGTGGTTCTCAATCTTTTTAGGATTTCTTGTGTAGCAATCTCTTTAGAAGTTTTTAGATTACTAATGGACCTTTTAAAATTAATTACAGTTAACATATAGGCTATTGTAACAATAGCCTATAGCATTTTTTGACAAACAATTATGTATTCAGAAAATGGCAAATCTTAATCATCAAATATACTGTACATTCAATGGGATGGGTGCATCTGCTTTGCCTGAAGTGACCCCTTCATGGTCCCATAGAGGACTGCGGACCCCAGTTTTGAGAACCACTGCTCTATATGTAGACTTAAAAATTTTTAATTTTTTCTTAAGTTGTTCATTTTTTAGCTTTAAACTAAATATTTTATAAGTCTAGAAAAGTGTTCTTATCCTTACTATACTTTAAATATATTTTTTAACTTAATTTATTTAATAAGATTATTGAAAATAATTTAAGAATTTACAGTTGGAATTATGAGTCAATTTGATAGTCTGATTTAAATCTGAGGAAGAACAGTTAAAATTCAATTATTCTATTAGTAAAATTTTATTGATTTAAGAATAAATTAAATTGTGTTATTTTGAAAAAGAATAAACATTAATATTTGTTATTTCAGGTGTATATTCCAAGATGTATTAAATGCTTGCTTTGGTCATTGTTAATACAATGGATATTCCTACAAATAGTGATTTATTTACTGACTTTATTTACATTTCGAACTCGAGATGAAAATGATTTGAAAGGTAATCTATATTTTTAAATATATTTATTTATAAAATATTTTAATTAGATAATGGTTAGAGTCTGTATATATATCTTAAAAGAAAAATGTTCTGTCCCCACCGAAACTGAAACCAACACTTTACAAGGAAGCAGTGTGTAAGTCAGTCCCATTAGGTCACCTGTGGGGTTTACAATTTGTTCAAAAGGACTACCCATTAAGTTTCTCTGTGGATTTGGCATGAATTCATGGAAAGGGTTAATTAACAAAGGGGAAAGAATGTCATTACATAGGGACAGGAGACATGAAAAGACTTCACTTTTGACTCAGATTTGGAGTTGAGTGACAGCATTCATTTGCTCTCATAGCAACTGTTCTTTAAGTTTGATTTTTGAATAATAACCTTTGGTTATGTACAGAATACAGATATAAAAACTAAAACTAAATCTGTATATTATTTATATTCGTTTTTCAAACTTATTAATCAAAGTGGTTCCTTTCTTTATAGACGCAAATGTTTTCAAATCCCCTCCTGGGCTCTTCCTCTGGCTTTATCAAATAGGCCGTTACTGTTTAAATAAAGTTTATATACAAATTTCTTCAGAATATTGTCATGTGCAAATGGTCCAAAATAATACAGTTGTATTGTACCTGTTCTGTATACACTGCTTTGTGAAATTTTTCTTTTTTATAGGTCCTTATCTACCAATCTAGACCCCACTCATATTTTAGAAGATATCACACACAAATTACTCATCTCGCACCTAGAGGGATACCAATTCAATACATCCAACCCAACAGAACTTATAGAACAACTGAAGAAGATAGCACATCCAGCTTATACTACAGTCTTAGACTTCTGATCATTATATCCTTCGATAGAACTTCCACCATGTTTCTGTGAACTCAGGGACTACCTATTTTCGATAATTGAAGACACCATAATGCACCAGCAGGTACTTGAACTGGTGCATTTATTATGCTATAGTTCTCTCTCCCAATTTAATGGGATCACTTGCATGCAAGATAAAGGAGTCTCGATGGGCAGTCCAGTATTGGGCGATTTGTGTGAAATGGTGATCAGAAAACTAGAAAACAATGTTATACCACGTTTCTTACCCAATATCTTATTGTTTAAACGTTATATTGATGACATCGTATTTTGGAGGGTGGAACTGGACCTTAAACTCTTTCTAGAAGCCATGAACAACAATCCATTCGGGCTATCGTTAGAAATAGAGCAACATAGCAATTCAAAGGTGCATTTCTTGGACATTGATATCAACTTTGAAGGAATGAATATAGTTACATCTGTATACCGGAAACCTAGTACCTTCCCCACTTATATACCAAGAGATTCATGCAATCCTTTCCCATACAAACTTGCAGCGTTTTGAGCATTAGTGAGAAGAGCCCATACACACTCCTCAACACAACAAGCTCTTACTAAGGAACTCCAACATATAAAAAATATTGCAGTAACCCATGGATACAACAATATCATTGAAACTTTGTGTAAAAAACACGAGCTTATCCAAGAAACATCGAATGTTCACACAGGACCACCCTTGAATATACCAGATGAAGAAAAAGAGAGGATACCTATCACATATAATCCGACACTGAAATTAACATATAACATAATAGCCAAAAGAAGAGGAATAAATATCGCATACAAAAGATGTCAAACAATCTTCATGATACTAAGTAATGGTAAGGATTCTCCAAACCTGGAAAGACTGCCAGGAGTATACACAGTACTGCTGGAAGACAACCAATGCAGTAGACAACTAACATATATCGGTTCCACAAAACGTTCATTAAAAGTGAGATTGAAAGAACACGATTTAGACATACAACACGGTAGAAACATAATGGCCTTAACAACGTACGCGTCAGAACGGGATAACAGCGAACCTAGATGAGGCAAAGATCATTATTACTAACTCCAACCCACAACAACTGAAATGGTTGGAAGCTATAGACATATTTAAAGCAGGAATAAATAGTACATGTATTAATTATTAGGATGAAATGACCCTATCTGTAGCATGGCAGATATTGCTAGATAAGGACCTGTAAAAAAGAAAAATTTCACAAAGCAGTGTATACAGAACATGCGCAATACAACTGTATTATTTTGGAACATTTGCACATGACAATATTCTGAAGAAATTCATATATAAACTTTATTCAAACAGTAACAGCCTATTTGATAAAGCCTGAGGAAGAGCCCAGGAGGGGGTTTGAAAACGTTTGCGACTATAAAAAAAAAAAGGAACCACTCCGGTTAACAGTTTTGAAGAATGGATATAGCTATATTCCGGTGTGTACAGAGTTTGTTTGTATATTATTTTTTAATAATATTTATTTATATACAGTAGTACCTCAGGATATGAATGCTCTAGCATACAAAATTTTCAGGGTACGACATGAAATTCAAACATATTTTTGCTCCACGGTACAAACAAAAACTTACCATATAATGTTACGTTAGTCTGCAGCGCCATTTTTTATTCACTTCTGTTCATTGGTCTCAGTCCGCGTGTTTGCTTTGTCATGGAAGGATCTCGCTCGATAAAGGAAATCTTGAGGTATTATCAGAAAGTGACTGATTTTATTGAAAAGAATTATCCCGAAAAGGTTCACACTGGCCGTATTGCTGCTCAATTTCTCTAAGTCATTTTAGAAACATTTTAAAAAGTAGGCAAAGCTAAACCTCTTTGGATAGATATTTTATCAAGTGATCTCTATCCAGTGAAAGTGCTGGTGGAAGTGAAGGAAAGAAAGCAAAAAGCAGTGAATAAAAAATTTAAAAACATATATAAAACAGAAAAGATAAAAAACTTAACATTAAGTTATTTTTAAGTTATTGTTACATTATGTTATGTAAGTTAAGTTTTAGTATCATTTCCCTTCTCCCTCTCCTCTGCCACCAGTTTACACCTCCACCGTCATCTATCCTCAAAGGTAAAGTGCAAATAAAACTACATTTTTTTATCAATTATTATTCTATTATGGTTATTTATACATTTACAACTATAAAATGCATTTTACATTGTTTTCCTTACTAAATTTATTTTTTTTTAATGTATTACTAAGCTTTAATATGAGTGTTTTTTTCATGTTGGAACAGATTATTTGGTTTTACATGTAATCATATGGGAAAAATGATTCACCTTATGACATTTTCATGATACGATCTCAGTTTCAGAACAGATTAATTTCGTATTCTGAGGTACTACTGTGTGTGTGTGTATTAAAAGCAAAATGTTCAATCATCACCACACACAAATAATATAAATTTAAAAATTTATTTGATCTATAATTGAAATTTTCAAAACCACTTTTAAATTGTTTTTAAAAATATTTTAATTTTCAATTGATTTGATTTAATTAGTTTTGATTTTATTTTAAATTTTGGTTTTGCTGTAAAGGCAAGAGTTTTAATCATTTTATTATTTTTAGTTTCAATTAATTTTTGGCTTAAGTTAAATTAATATTAAATAAATTAAGTTTTTATAATTATTTTTAATAATTATTATTTATTTAATTTTGCCAGCATTTTTGAACCCTTAATTACAATTTTTTTAATTAATTGCAACTACTGTATTTTTCTTTTGTGACATAACTATAGAAATCGTTTTAGTGTTGTTTCACACAAACAATAATCAAATTTAAATTTATTTTAATTTTTTTTTAGTAATTTCATTAATTTTTGTTTTATAAATTTGCATGTTTTTTAAAGTTTTTTTTTTTTTAATTTAAATTTTAAGTAAGTTAACATAATTTGAACTGTCAGGCTACCTAGTATTTATAATGATAGAAAATAGATATGTTTTTTAGGACATTAGATATATGAGTGAACTCAATGAATAACTTATTAATATTACTATTAAAGTTGTTTTCATGTATTTCATATGTGATTAAAATAAAATAGAAAAACATAGATAATTTTATCAGTTATGCATTATTTTTTACTAAACAAAAAAATATATTAAGTTTAAAGCTGTTGATATTTGGTTGTTTGAATGAATTAATTCATTTAATCTGACCTGTTTGTGCTCTCTGAGTGGTAAAGGGCATAAAACCACAAAAAAAAAAAATTCATTTAACTTTGATTAATTTATTTTTAATAAAAAAAATATGTTTTAATGTTTAATGGAGGCTTACAAGTGCTTTTATGTGGTTAGCCATCTTCAGGCTACATATATTTGAAATAGTTGTTACCATAGGGTGCGTATACTTTTTGCTAGCTTCCAAGCTCGCCGAGCTGACACCTAGCGCTGCCTGACGTCATACTAGCACGTTGGTAAAAGTATACACAGTAATGGCGTCTTACGGTTTAGTATCAGCGGCTGTAGCTATTATTTCACAACTGCAATCGCTAGATTCGGAGTCTGAAGACGATGATTTATTGTTAGAATGTGCAATGTCTGCAGTTGAAGCTGAGGTGAATGCATCTAGTGGCGAAAAAAGCAAGTCAGTCGAAAAAGTAAAAGGGTATGTTGAGTACACTGTGCCAAGATACCGATCGAAGGATTTTCAGGAACATTTTCGATTGAACAGAACAACTGTGGACATTTTAATATCAAAATTAGCACCCTTACTTAATAGCAAACAGAATTCAAGAGGACGATGCCCATTGACGGTGGAGAAAAAAATATTGTGCAGTCTCTACTTGTTATCGAATCAAGCTCCGTTCAGGTAAAGTACAGATCTATATCGTTAATTGAGATTCATGTTAATAATATGAATTGTGGTTAAAATTAACAAAATGCATATATTTTTTTGAATTAAAAGAAAACTATAAAGAATTCTTAAATGAAACTTTAAACATAACTTATTTATACTGTAAAATAGAATTTAACAATTTTTAACATCATAAATTTTGTAAATTCTTGATCTTTTTGTGTCAATTAAATATAACCACACCAAATTTTTATATTTTAAAGGTAAATTTATACATACAGAAGCTAAAAATGGTACAACTAAGATTAAATACTCTGTTTGCATTAAATTACAGTTTGTCCCTCTTAATTTCTTCTCCAATAGGTAATAAATTACTTTAAGACTTCTTGATAATTTTTAGATGTTTTTCTATCAGTTAAAATCCCTAAATTTGATAAACCATTAAATCCAAAGCNTTATGAAAGGTTCATAGTTACAATGTTAATTTGACAAGCAGTAGGCTACAACCTGAATATTTGTATATTGGGGTAATTCAAACTTCTCCCTGTGTTCATTGTACAAGGAAATTAGTTGAATTGTCCTGGCTTTGGGCCACTGGAAGCCACAGGGTTCCTCTATAAAAGATAGAAAATATTTAGCATATGTAGCCCTTATTATAACAGATTAAAAATTCTAAAATTTTTTAACAATCGGCGCTAATTACATCGTGATCTTAGTTTATCGGTTTATCCTTTCAACAATTTCATTCGAAATCAAAATTTGACTTACCAGCAGGGATACTCGGTCCAACTGAAGCAGTGGAAAGAGTCGTCAAAGCCAATTCTCTGGCATAATTTACATCTGTAATGAAGCCTCTGTTATCGAAATAGGATTTATGATATAAAATTATACACTTTTAGGAATCCCTTTTTACTTACCTTCCATCATCTGACGATAAACGACTTCATTAACGCGTAATTGAACTTCTTTTCCGTCCGGTAAAGAAACGGTAACATCGTACATGGACGCCGCCATCTTTGAACTAACGCCAAGCTCGTTGTAAGTTCTCCGGGCATGCCGAGCGCGCTAGGAATGCTAGCAATGACGTCACGGGTGCGAAAAGTATACGCCGTGCTCGTTGGTAGCTAACAAAAAGTATACAGGCTGAGCGCGCTAGGGGTGAGATCGGAGCTAAAAGTATACGCACCCATAGTATTGCTTATACAAGCAAAAAGGTAGTGATGGAAGTTATATAAGGACATGTGTTTTTACAAATTAAGTGAAGCAGATCTGCCTAGATAGATTGTCATCTGTGTTAACCTCTACCATGTGGCTAGACAATCAAATTTCTTTAAATATTTTACTTATTTTCAAATGCAAAACCTATGTCTTTTTCTTTGTGTTTGCACAAGTGACACTATAGTAATGGTTGCCATGACAACTGTTTGAAATATTTGTGGCCAGATGATGTATTATCACTCAAAAGAGTATATAATGGTTTTATTGTTAAAAATATTTGCATTTTTTAAAAATTAACTCATAAATGCTATCAAAATGAAGTTAATAAGTGAAAGCTCTGTAGTTGTGTTATTTATTGAGCATAGCTTCCAATAGTTTTATATTGACTTAGATTTATTTCCACCCACATATTTATTACAGTAGAGCATCGATTATCCGACCCCTGATCAACCGTCACATTGGTTAACCGACCGCATTTTAGTCAGCAAATTCAAATGTCCACTAGTGATGTGGCACTACAGTATTTGACTACATCTTGGCTACTTTAATATTATTTTTGTTAAATTTTTGCGTGTTTTAACTGGCAACACTGGCTCGACCATGAAAGGGAAGCCAGTATTTAAACGAGGCTTAATTTTCTAATTATGAGTGGTTGTTTGTTTTGTGAGCAATAAAATAATTTTAAAATAATTTTTAATGATACAATAGCAATGATTATTATTTTAAAAAAATTTTGTTAGGCTTAACATCGATGAAAATTCAACGCGAAGTAGGTTAATAGCAATATATTAATATACTAATTACATGGGATATACTAATATACTATAATAATGTATTTTTCATACTTTTCGGTTATCCGTTTTTTCAGTTATCCGACCAACCCCAGTCCCCAATTGAGTCGGATAATCAATGTTCCTACTGTATGTGAAATTTTTGTCTTTAATAATTTTTAATAGATAATATTTTGTAAATAAATATATATGTATTATAAATACATAACCATATATATGTAGATATAGATAAGTATATCTAGAAATAGTTTATATATATTATATACTATGTATTAAAACAGAAAATGTAATGAAATTAACTTTATTTTAGGTTCTTCCTGGCCACTAAATATTTTTTCATGGCAAAATTTTATTCTATTGGGATTTTTAGATATAATTGTTTCAATTATTCATATCAAGCAACATACAGGTAATATTTAAAACTTTTATTTGAAATCATAATTTTATAGTAGAAATTTTTTTATTAATTTTAAAGTAAATGATTCTATAATTTTTGCAGATTTTTGTATGAAAATGATTATTTTGATATTTATTGATATTTATTAAATATGAACTATCCTTAGTAAATATGAAATATTCTGAACTAATAAATATTTTACAGACTGATAAATTTGCTCCAGCAACTATTCAAAAAATGCCAGCTGATGGCAGAGGTGGTTAAGATATTAGCCTACCACTCTTTCAGTATCAAATCTGGGCAGATTGAAAATCTCTAAAATTCTGTAGTGGTGGTATTTCCCAGAATATTGGGTTTTGTCCCTTACCGCCTTGGCTGTCTTATTGTTGGCTTGGCTTGAACCCACAATGGACTTGAAAAAGTTCTTCTTAGTGCCCACACGATGGAAAGAGTCAACAGTCTTCTTCTTCTTCTTCTTCAGCTTTTCCCACAATATGTAGGGTTGCTGTTTCTGATGAGTCGTCTCCACTGCTCCCTGTCCTGGGCTGCCTCCACATTCAGATGCTTTTCTCTCAAGTCCTCCTCCACAAGATCCATCCACCTTTTCCGCGGCCGTCCCCGCCGCCTCCTCCCCATCACTCTCATCTGCATAACCCTTCTTCCCACATACCCTTCTTCCCTCCGTACCACATGACCAAACCACTTCAACCTCGCTTCCTGTATCTTTGCTTCTATGTTCACAACTTTCACTGTCCCCCTCACACATTCATTTCGAATGTGATCCCGTCTCGTAACCCCACACATCCAACGGAGCATCCTCATCTCCGCCACCTCCATCCTTTTGACATGGGTTTTCCTTAAGCTCACAGTCTCAATAGCGTACAGCATAGCTGGTCTCACCACCATCCGATAAACTTTCCCTTTCAACCTAAGTGGCACCCTCTTATCACACAACACTCCTGACATATCCCTCCAATTCCGCCAACCAGCCTGAATCCTGCCTGTCACCTCCTTATCCACACTTCCATCCTCAGCCATAGTTGACCCCAGGTACTTAAAGGTA